GGGGCCGGGCCCCCCCCCCCCAGTAAATCCATCCCTGTGTTCAACAAAATTATCATGGCTGGTTTGTGTAACACAATCTTTCGTTTGAACACTATGCTGGAATAAACTTTCCAATACATTAAGACGATCCCGCTTCTCGATCCATTTTGGCAAAACTGGATAATTGAAACTGGGCCTATCATTGAAACGGGCCCGGCCTTATTATATGTTTTGAAGCTTGAAGCTTCATTTGTATTTGTGCAGCATTGTGATGACTCTACAAAGGCAAGTGACACAAGAGTGTTTGTACTTCAAGGAGATGATAAACTGAAGATTGAATCATTACGTGTGTCTGGACCATGTTATCTTTATGTTGATCTTTACACTCCGTTAGGTAACCACTATACATGTTATATAAATTAATGAGATATTGTTATGTCGTGTTTACTATTATTAAAACTGGCTAGCTCTCTCAGTTCTAAACGGTTTTCCTTAGAGATTCAGTAATGGCCATCTCTCTGATGATCCAGTGTTGCTTCGACAGGGAACCTAAGTACCCTGAGAAAACCTGTGACTTTTGGTAGATGATGTAAGAACTCTTGATTTAATAATGTCCGACAACTACTAAATTATGATAACAATGTATAGTACCAGGATACTCGACACAGTGTCCCCAATTACGGCGAATCCTTAATAATTACATCTAAATCACGTTAATTATTAATATTAATATCGAATAATCTAATAAATAACTGACAATACACATAACAAAACATAACATGACATGACATGACATACAACTAGCAACATCTTAAAACACCGTCCAGGGACCTCGCCCTTCTACATTTAACGCATATGGACTTCCATGTGCGTGGATCGTCACAATTGTATACTTTGGATAGCGCGTGTTCGTAATATGTCTTAAGTTTTGATTTGAAGGTATTCAGACCAATATCTCTGTGACGAAGATCACAGCCCAAAATGTTCCATGTTTTGCATGCTCTAATGAAATAAGTTTGGAAGGTCACCGTATTGGAAATGGTATTGAAAATTTACATATGTTCTCATTATACATATATACGTCATTAGCAGGTTGTTGTAACGCGTTTTCCTCGAACATGGCCGCTATGTCTTATCCTAAGGGAATGATTGCAGCCCACCAATACTTTGCGTTTCTTATCAAGCAAAAAGAAGGTATTGAAGGTAGTTATTTCTTTTTAAAGGTGTTAAGGAAACTAGCAACTTTGTGATCTACACACCGGATAAACCAGATCTATGGAAAGCATACCAGTTTTGTGCTGAACGTCAGTTGGTATTTCATTTAGAACACGCAGGTAAGGTATACAGTATAATAGTGTAAACATGTAGCATTTATTTCATTGAGATTTCATAAACAGCGTTCGAAGTAATGAAGGTCGATCCCGGGTCATTGATTTGAACTATGCGGCCGCCAATTTGACAGCTATTTTTCCAAAATAAGAGGATCAAAAAGGCTTTCAAATTTGAAATATTGAAATGTTTAGGGACTGGTCATAATTTAGCAGGAGGGGTGGGGAGGTGGAAACAGTGGGGGGTCACATATTTTTTAGCCAGGAAAAAGGGGGGTTCATAAAATATTAGACAGTTTATGAAGGCGGGGAGGGGGTCTGCTGTTTTAGGGACCGGTCATTATTTATGGTGGGGGGTGGCACCGAAGAGAAAAGGGTTGGGTAAGCTAAATTTTGAGTAAGTAAAAGGTTGGGTAAATGAAAAACAAAACAACTCAAGGGTTGGGTAATAAAAAAAATATTGTCATTTCCAAAGCATGACTCGCTGAAGTATTGGAGACTAAAAAGTAATGGCAACAGTAGCTAGCCCTATTCTGGGGTGATAATGAGATAATGTGAGTTTAAGCAATTTTAGGTGATTTAAGCAAAATCTGCAATTTTTAAGCGATGCGCATGCAAGTTTGAGCGATATAGGGTTATTTAAGAAAACAATTAAAATTTTAGGGAATGCTGTTTTAGGTGTTTAGAGGTAATTTCAGGAATATACAACTATATCCCTGATGACTCCAATGAAATTACCATTAACCTATGCCAAGCATCCAAACATGAGGGCCCCCTATACCTCTTCACAATATGCTTTCACGTAAAAATATTTTGTCTTTTCACGAGTCACGGATTAAGAAAATCATCGATCACGTTTCACGGCTAAGTAAAATAAGCCCTTCACGCTTCACGCTTCACGCAAAAAGTATAGGGGGCCCGATCACGTTTCACGGCTAAGTAAAATAAGCCCTTCACGCTTCACGCAAAAAGTATAGGGGGCCCTCAAACATGAGTGTTCCCACAAACACACACACATGCAGTGTATGAAACAAAATATACAATTTGACAAGAAAAGTTGAAGTCTGCTTGAGGGGGTTCTGGAAACAAACAATACACTGTATGCACATGACGATCAAGTGTTTAAAGGGTAAATATGCTCAATATTCATGACTTTTTTCATCTATTGTCTATTTCGAAGCTATTGGAGTATTATTAAATTCATGACACAACTATAATACATGACCACATCATATGCAATTGCCAACAATTTTCAAAGGAGTAGGGTACAGAATTGCAATATAGCAACATATAAGTAAATTATACATGTCATGAACTTACCAGTTTGTGTTGAGTTAAATTTTAAAATTTTTACGACATCAAATATTATTTATTTATTTGCAAATCAAAACATTTTAAAATTCTTGTGTTTTGTATTGTGCCCGCGATATATTAATGGTATTAACCGCCGTGAATATGATATACATTTTTAATACATTTAAATTTCACCCTGTTTACATTTAATATATTTGCGCTCAAAAGTTCAGGAAGTGAGTTTCTAGAAAGGATGAAAACTCCATTTTATGTATGGTATGTAAAAGGTAATTGTTGTTTACTGTTTATTTTGTATTCAGGTATGGGGAATTTAAGCGATGAGAGTTGCAAAACTTGCAAATGTAGTCTGACTAGTCTCTTTGACGTCATCATGCAACTATTTAATATTGTGCTACATTCATTATTCAATTTATTCACAGCAATTAGCCTTCTATAAACCATACAAATGATTATAGCTTGTGGCCCACCTTGCCTTTAACATTGACCTTATATAATGAATTAATATAACTAACTTGATTATGTTGCTAGTCGAGTATGGGATTGGGACCTATGGGTCTTTTAGATCCTAGCTTATAGAGTAGCACAATTGATATAAAGTATCCATAAGGCGGTAATATTAAAGACTGTTCTTATTTATGCATGACCTTTGACTATTAAGTGGCCGAAAATTGTGCCTACAGTAGTCAACTTAATCCACTATCCAGGTTGCATCATTTTGATTATATATATATATATATATATACTTTCCTGTTGCCGATTTAATTATTATGCGTTTAGGCAGTTTTAGGAGGTTAATAAGAGAACTTTGGTCAATTTTGACCAGCGATTTAAGGCAAGTTACCACCCCAGAGTAGGCTGTCATATGTCAATACAATATGTGAATCAATCAGAGTCACTATCTTGATCAATTTCCGATGGGATCTCCAAAGAAAGTACATGTGCAGACAACATGAAACTTTAGACTGCAGAAAATTTCACAATCCGTTGTCGGAAACTTCATTTTACATTCATATAAGGTAACCGGAAATCACGTGATATGGCGTGACCCCACAT